TGCAAGAAGGTGAGAAACAGATTCTGATCACCGAGTTTTCGCAGTTTTCTTCAGAAACCTCAGCAGCCTGTGTGAATAGTTGTTACGGTGGCGACATCCGAGCAGATATAACAATCGATGCGGCAATACCGTGAGGGGCAGGTAGCCATTTTTAACGGGAGACCTCACCACGGTTCCCAACCGTCCTGCTTTTCTCATTCGGTCTGTGAGCCGGTAACGGGGCAGTTGGGTGCAAAGTTATTCATTGAAGTTCTCCACAATGGCAACAATGGGAGAAGAACAGAGAGCAGTCCCATAGGAGTAACGATGGAATCTACTGTCGTGCTCAAAGGAAGTGTTCGAAAGTTTCATATTAAGAACCTTCAAGAACTATGAAAAAGGTAATCAATGATCCACCTGTGGTAGGCGTCCATTTTTTAGTTGTGTTCTATGTCTTCCAAAGTTTCTGCGCAATGAAAAGGTCTCTGCTTATAAAATATTGCCAAAAAAATTTTCATTACGTCGAATTTAGCAATTGTGTTAAAATGTCTGAGTTTGGTTATGAACTCTTTACCATTCTATATCCGAGAGGGATCTGCACTGGTTTATTGAAGACTTAAAAATGAAATCTATATCTTTGCTTACATAAAAAGGGACCTACCGCAAAAAGGAACTGTAGGTCTTAACAATTATGATGGCATATGCAGTCTAATAAGGCCATGTGGTCGCACGTCTCTTTGTGGTTTCTTCTGATGGTAAAATTGAATTAAACTGTAAAATCTACAAGAGACCTTTGGAAAACCTAAGTGCATTTCCTCAAATTGTTTAACGCATTTTCGATGACGTTCGCGTTTTTGCATAGCTTGAAATGAAGCATACCATTGCGATTTTCATCAATTCCGGAAAAGCATCGTTTGGCCATCCGAAAATATATATGCGTTTAAAATAGGAAGTTTGATAAGTCTTGTTTCCGCTCAGTCAAAGCATGAAAAGACGAAGCTCTGGTGTGACGCAGCTTCAGAAATTCTTTTGCTGAGAACATTTCAAGGTTTAATTTTAACGAATTGGAAATGGATCGTTTCTCATGGTCATTCCTCAACGTAGAGAAGGCGGTTGGCTTCAGAAGTTCATGCTGTTTTACTGTATGGACCAGATTTTGGCGCATTGCACTAGCCTTTGACTCCTAGTTGCACTTGAGGAGTACCAGCTCATCAAAAGTTGTTCGTAATATGCTTCAGATGGCTCCAACGGACAAAATGACGTGAGATACATCTGCACTGCTGGTGCTCAAATACCATTCAGATGTGGTCGAATCAAATGTGGCCCCCTGGGCAGTTAGGACATGGACGGTACAGTATGCGTGAAATCTAGTCTTAGACGAGTCATTCTTTAACTGATGTACAGTTAGAGTAACACTGCACAAAACGTCTCTCCTTACAACCAAAACCTGCTTGGTGCCAATAATCAATGGAGATGATGGACTGTACCTTTCTCGTACCTGCAGTCGCCCATCAAAAAAAATTCAAATTCATAAAAAGGCAATCAAAGCACAACCACAGCGCATTATTTGCATTACTGTAAGTCTGACCAAACACGAGATCAACAGGAACAAGTACAAGGGTTTCACCTTGTGACGATTGTCAAAATGGTGTGTCAGCTGTTAAGTGAGTCAGGACGAATTTCGGCCAGGAGAGCGGGCATCATATAGCATTGTTATGCCAGTCATCCTATCTGATGTGACCAGACCATGGCACCATGCGCGTCAGGCATATTCGCGGTCAAGACAATCACTGTCCGTTCCACAGACTGCAATGAATACAGGCTACAGAAAAAAATTTCAAGTCGTTCTCGTTGCCACACTGTCACAGCGACCCATATCACGCGTCATGGTCAGCGGAATCTGCCAGCTCAAGT